AAAGTTACATTATCAATTGGTGATCATGGCTGGTTATTTTAAATGGAACAGGATGTGCTCGGTAAGACAGAAAGAATTAAAGCAGGAAAAGCTAAGCTGGTCACTATGATGGATTGCCCAACTTATGGGATGTTTGAGTTTAAGTCTTTGGAGCATTTTCTGTTTTCTCTAATGTTTTTCTTACAGTAATTAAAAAATTGATGAAAATACTGATGTTTTGAATAAAGACTTCTAAGGGGAATTAATAAACAACATAATAAACATTTTTACTTCATACTGTATTTCCCAAGGAGCAATGATGAAAGGTAAAAACCTAAAATCCTGAAATTGCTGTAAAAGGCCTGAGAAATCTGCATATTGTTTTTGAGAACAATATTTACTATAAAAGGCTGAAATTCATCAAAGGTGATCTTAGTAGAGACAGAGAAGTGAAAAATATAATTTGCACTTGTATTTATTTATGTCACAATTGCTGGTTAAACAACACATATAGAAAGAGGTTAGCAGACATAACTTTCCTTAGACACTAATTATGTGACATGAGGGTTTTCTATATTTTGAGCCCTTTCCTCTAAAAGTCGGGCAAGTGTTTGTTGCATAGTGAAACTGGGATAAAGGCAGTCAGCGTCACACAAGTAATTCTCATGATGGATTCCTGATAAACAGTAAAAGATCTATAGCTGCTTTTAAATGTCAAAATGTAATTTGAACCAGTTGCCTGAAGCAATGAAAAGTCCATGCCAAAAGAGAAAGAGGACAAACTAATGTTAGTGCTAACACCTCAATAAACTCAATCCCAACATATTGGAATGACCATAATATAAGGTTATTGAAGATGTAGCTGGACAACAAAGCTGTTATAAATTTAAGTGTAATGGCCCGGCTCCCAATCTGGTGTTTTGGAATCCATTTAACTCACCATTTTGGCTGTTTGTTCAAGAAACAATGGAAATATTGGTTTCACTTTTCCCTTTAAATGTTTGTGCTATCGCTCTTAAGCACAAGTAAAACATTTTGAAGGAATTAGTAGAATTAGAGTATTGCTTTCTCCTAAAATTACAGAAGTTGAGAAACAGCATTAAATACAAAATTCACTGTCTGCTTTATATATAGCTTGAAATGAATAGATGATTCCAATAAAACTTTTTTTTACAAAGAGAGAATGTGCACAAACAAGCCCATGCTTCAAGCATATTCAGTTTTATTTCTGTCTTTAAAAATGCTGCATTGTAACAGTGATTTAAATCCAGCTTTTTCTGCAGTTGTTAAGGTATCCCACTGGGAGATCAGTCATGTTAACCAGACGATACGTAAGCTCAACACAAAATGCTGACAGAGGTCTCCATGGAAACGTCACATGAATGCTTAAGCTCCCATCCTTTCGCCCTGTCAGACAAATATCTCAAGCAGCACGTTCCATTTATAGCAAGTTCAGTATCAAGGTTTCAAATGTTGCGACAACTGATATAGAAGAAAACATGCATGCATATATATTCATATATATATACATACATACATACATACATACATACATACATACATACATACATACATACATACATACATACATACATAC